TGCTGATTCTGCTCTCATCCCAGACTGGGAGAGTCAGCAAGCTTCAAAAACCAGAGTTCTCTATCTCTGCCCCTCCAAGATGGGCTAGTACCCAATAAATAAAACTTTTTTATTTCCGCAATCAACTCACATCATGCACAGCCAGCCCAGGCAACATTTTCCTTTCTTCCATTTCTTTGTGAATTTTTCATTTTTTATTATGGAAGATTTCAAACATGCGCAAGAGTGGGGAGAATAGTATATTGATGTACCCATCACCCTGCTTTAATAATTATCAATATTAGGCCAATCTTTCATATATCTCCCAAACGCTTTTTTTCCTGGAATGTTGTAAAAGTAAATACCAGATATAATGTAATTTCACACAAAAAAAAATATTTTAGTATCTCTAACAGATAAGGGTTTTTACAAAACATAATCCACAGTGCTATTATCTCACCTAATTAGACCTTACTTAGTATGTTCTAAGGCCCAATCCATGTTCAAATTCTCCCCATTATCTTTTTCTTAAAATATATTTTTTTATTGGTTTTACAGAGGAAGGGAGAGAGAGAAACATCAATGATGAGAGAATCATTGATTGGCTGCCTCCTACACACTCCCCTCTGGGGATTGAGCCTGCAACTCAGGCATGTGCCCTTGACCAGAATTGAACCCAGGACCTTTCAGTTTGCAGGCCTACACTCTATCCTCTGAGCCAAACCAGCTAGGGCTCTCCCCATTATCTTAAAATGCCTTTGAACCGTTGGTTTGTTTGAATGGCAATCCCAACAAAGGACCCCATGTGGCATTTGACTGCTAAGTCTCTTAGTCTCTTTTATAACACTTGCTCCTTTGTGTCCCTTTTTTTGAGCCATTTATTTGTTGGAAAACCATGTGCTTGCTCTGTAGAATTCTGTGAGTCTTTTTAGAAGTATTCTTATCTGGGTGGGAAATCATATTGCTTTTACTTCAAGGAAAGACTAAGAGGAATGAATTAGTGACAGATGCATAGAAAATTAACCAAATAATAAAGATAATAGGAGGTCCAACATGGTGGGAGCATAGGAGGATGCTGAACACACCACCCTCCCATAAACAAACTCAAATATACACATAGAAAACAATTACTCTTGCAAAAAAAAAAAAACACAACAAACTGGGGACTGAATGAATAGTTTCTGAACAACAAACAAGAGAGAGACACTGCATAGAGAAGGCTGGGAGGCCTTGGGAGGTCTCAGAAGCTGAGGGAACTCTCTGGACTGAGGAGCAAGTGAGCACCACTGTTTTCTTCTCCCTCCACTTTGATAGGCAGGTTGGAAACCTATTCAGGTGCTTGGCCCTCAGAGCAGGGCTTTCTCAGCTACATTGCCCAGAGCCCTTTGTCCCTAAACAAAGAGAGCAAGCAGGAACAACAGGATGTCACCACACCCCTGGCCTCCCTGCCAGGGGCCTCTCTCTCCTGCTCAGCAAGCTACTGCCCCAGCTGCCATGAGCACCTGGTATACCCAGCACACAGAGCCTACAGAGAGGTCTCTTCTATATAGGACCATGTTCTCTACAACAAACAAGAGAGAGAGTAAAGAGAAGTCTGGGAGCCATGGGAGCTCTCCAGGGACCGCCAGTGAGTGCCATTGTTTATGCCCCCCTCCAACTCCATAGGGTGTGCAGGGGGCTCTATCCAGGTGTTCTGGTCCACCTGCCAGGTTTCTGCAGCACATTCCCAGGCACACCACAAAAATATCTAAAACGTGACACCAATAACATAAAGCATGGAGGAAGGTGGGGGAAGGAGAAGGAAAAAAATAAGTGGAGGAAAAACAACCAATGACAAAGAAGAAATCAAACAAGAAATCAGAAACTATCTTGAAACAAGTGAAAATGAAAATACAGCTTTTCAAAATGTATGGGATGCAGCAATAGCAGTTCTAGAGGGAAATTCATATTTATATAGGCCTACTTCAAGAAAAAAAGAAATATCCTAAATAAACAATCTAACTCTATAACTGAAGGAACTAGAAAAAGAAGAACAAACAAAACCCAAAGAAACAGAAAGAAGGAAATAAGTAAAATTAGAACAGAAATAACCAAAATAAAAATTAAAAACAATAGCCCTGCTGGTGTTGCCCACTGGTTAGAGCATTGGCCTGCAGACCAAAGAGTCGCTGGTTGGATTCCCAGTCAAGGGCACCTTCCTAAGGTTGCAGATTCAATTCTGGTTGGGAGTGTGTGGTAGACAATCCATCGAGATCTCTCTCTCTCTCTCTCTCTCTCTCTCTCCACGCCCTCCCTTCCACTCTCTCTAAACAACAACAACAACAAAAAATCAATGGGAAAAATATCCTTGGGTGAGAATTAACAAAAAGGTTTTTTTTAATAAAAAATAAAAAACAATAAAAAAAGATCAATAAAACTAAGAGCTGTTTCTTTGAAAAGATAAACAATTTAACAAACCTTTAGCCAAACACATGAATAAAAAGAGAGGGAGACCAAATAAGTAAAATAAATGAAAGAGAAGTTAAAGCTGACACCACAGAAATAAAATAGAAATATACCCATAAAGAACAAGCTGATGGTTGCCAAAGGGGTTGGAGGATGGGAATAAAAAATAATTACACAAATAAATAAAAAAGTAATACCCCAGGAAAAATAGACCATATATCAAAGGAATTATAATTACACTACACTTCTTGAATACTAATTGAATATTTGTTTAGTCAGCTTGAATAACTGTTTTGCAGTTCTAGTATTATAAATGCAGAATAATCATACAAACAAGAGGTACAGGAAAATGTAGAAAGTGATATAAGAGCTCAATCTTCATATTCCTTAGTAAGCAGTCAATAGATAAATTTAAAAGTGGGAAAAAACACACCTAACATTAGCAGTAGAAATCTGATGCTTACAAAATAGATGTAAGACTAGAAGAAATCATCAGAAATACCAGAAAGAATTTAAAGGAATTGGAAGTGAGAGGGAATGGAATAGGAAACAGATAATTTCAAAGTGTATATCAAATTATCAGATTTATTAACAACAAAAAATTTGAAAGTGTAGGTTCATTTAGCTGGTATCCAAGGCAGCTAAAATCTGAGAAAAAAAAATGAGTTAAGACTCCAGGAACCGTTGAGGCTTAAGTAGGCCAGTGTAGGGATAGAATGTGAGTCTCCAAGCCCCTGACTACAGGATTGTGGGCACAGCATAGAGATTGTGGATATTTCTTTATCCAGGCAGCACCGTCCCCTACCTGTTCTGCCTTTTGTTTCTTTGTTTACACCAGAGTGACCAGCCAGAAACAAAATGTCAGCCAACTCTCCCAGGCATTGTCTAAGCAGGAGACTTCATCACTGCCAGCCAGATCACCTTTGCCTTTTCCTTCTCTCTCCCTTTCTTTGGGAGCTTCCAAGGTACTTTTGGGAGGGAGCTCCCAACAACTCTCAACACTGTTTTAGTTCCTTCAACAGACTTCCAAGTTGGAGGCCTGTTTTCATAGATTCAAACTCCAAACACAGCAGGGACCACCTGGGAGGCCTGGGGTTTTCATCTCCCCTTCTTCTCTTTCTGAGGTTCTTTCAGAGGTGCAGAATGATGTCATCACCATTAAAGTCAGACTTATAGCCCAGCCTCTTGTTTGCTGTGTGACCTTGAACAAATTACTTAACCTCTCTGAGTTTCACCTTGTTAGCTGTAAAAAGGAGAGCATAATAATATATAGGGTTGTTGTAATCACTTAAAAAGAATAATGCATGTAAGGTGGGTAGCACAGCTCCTGGCTGACTGAGTGCTTGGTACATGAAGCTATTGACCATTACCCATATACTTGGAATCACCTTCCAGCCATCCCCTATCCCAGAGTCTCCAGAATGACACTGGGAGTTCCTTTTGGAGACAGGGTACTCCTCACCTATACCTGGCACTCCACGTTAACATTTACCTCCACCCCAGCCAGTCTTCTCTTTCCATAAGATCAGCTTTCATCTTGTCTTCTGGCCAAAGGGGTTATAATCTCTCTTGCTTTTGTCTGGAATCTTAAAAGCCTAACCAATTGATGGTTCGAAAAAACAATGGGATTGGGTTCCTGGTTCCAAAGAGGGAGCCAGGGAGCAGCTGGATGATGCTGCCTGAGGGAAGGACAATTTGGGGGGGTGCGGGGGGGCACTGTTAGGCCAGTGAGACTTTGCAGGAGCATGAATGGCGTGAAATGAGGAAGAGAACCTGTTGAGGGGATCTTGACATCCCAAAGGAGGCTCACCAGAGAGTTCACAGGAGGCACTGAGAGAAGGATCTGTACCCCTCAGCTTCTGTAATAGGCCCCCAGAACTGTCCTCCCGCCGGGGTCGCCCACACAGGGAAAAGATGGTTCCCCCAAAGGAAATTAGGGTCTTGGAAGAAAAATAGATCTTGGGCAAGGCCCTGAAATGCTAATTATCTATTATATACAGAACCAGGATCCAGATAACTTCCCACAAGATCAGAACAACTGGCTAGATCCAACAAGATAAAATAAACATTAAAAAAATGTAGACTCCTACACTGAGGGTCAAGAAACCAACGGCACACAAAGATGTGGAAAACCTACCAGATTAATAATGGGCAAGTGATATGGCTGCCAGAAACATTAATTCAGTGTGAGGACATATTAATGGAGGAGTAGAATCTAGGAAAGGGGAGGTGAAAGTTCAGCTTTATTCCCAACTGAGTTCAGTTCCAAGAGTAATACTTTAAATGGGACTTTGTTGACCTAGTAAGAAGCAAATGGAGGAGAGATGTCACAAGGAAAACAGTAGTAGAACTGGTGAGATGATACGGTTAAATGGAAAAAGCCAGAACCTCTCCCAGAGTCAGAAAAGCTGGATTCCAACTCCACTATTTATCAGTTATTAAAGATTAATCATTCTTCACATCACACACCATGTCAGACACAAGTGAGCCCTGAACTGCTTTTCTGTAAGAGCCAAGGGGAGGAAAACACTGGGAGGGAGAGTTCAGCTCAACCCTAGAAAAAAATGTCTTTCTTTTTTTTAGTGACACTTGTCATTCTTATCTCTGGTGACAAAAGAAATTCATGGTTGAATAAAATATTGGTAAACAGAAAAGCAAAATTGGGTAAAAATCACATCTCAACTCCCACTTTCTAATATTTAAGGATAAGCTACATAGACAGACAGATATGAACAAAAATTATCAAATAATTATCTGATCTAATTTAGAGTATCAGCATGTAAAGATGTATGTATGTGTATATAAGTATGTTTATTAATATTGTTTCTAGTAGAAAAAAACTTGTAAACCACTATCAGTAGGAGAATACTGGGAGTGTCTGAGTAAATGATCGTGCATACACATCATGCAAGACTGTGCAGCTCGTTGAAAGAAAAGGGTGGAACTAACAGGTATTACCTTCAAAATGTTTCCACATATATAGCTTGAGGCAAACAAAGTTATAGAATAATATGCATGGGGGGGAGGGGGATGAGGACACATTTGTAATACCTCAACTAATAAAGAATTAAAAAAAGAATAAGATGCATAGTATGATCCCATTTGTGTAAACAAATGCATGTACAGATATATTTTAAATGTTTTTATTGAGTTTTAGAGAGAGAGGAAGGGAGAGAGAAAGAGAAACATTAATGTAAGTGATCATTGATCGGCTGCCTCCTGCACAGATCCAGCCCACAACCTGGCCATATGCCCTGACCAGAAATCAAACTAGCAACCTGTTGGTACATAGCAGCATGCTCAACTAACTGAGCCACACCAGCCAGGGCCACATGTATGTTCTTATAAGCAAAGGAAACAGTATGATGTTAACTGTGGGTACATTTGGGAGGGCACAGTTGGAGAAGCCAATGCTAAGACAGTTAACATGTTCTTTGAATATTCTGTGTTGTTTGAATTGGGATGATCAGGATATATTATTTCTAAAATTCAAATGACTGAAATTTAAATAATCAAACAATAATCTACCCTGGAAATTTCTCCATGTCATTAAAGATACTCTATCACATCTAATGACCGCATATATTCCTTGTGTGGATTTCTCTTAATGTACTGAACCTAATGTTGGATATGTAGTATATCAGGAGCTGTCCAAAGAGGGTCCAGGAGCATTTTGACAATGTCTCTCAGAATTGAAAATGTGCAGACCCATAGATCTAACCATGCCTCAGGTAAGAAACTATCTGACAGGTACACTCATACATGTGTATAAAGATATCTATGCAAGATTTGGTCCCTGCCTCATTATTCTTTTCTTAAAAAAATAAATCTTTATTGTTCAGATTATTACAGTTGTTCCTCTTTTTCCCCCCATAGCTCCCCTCCACCCAGTTTCCACCCCACCCCCTACCCTTACGCCCATCCCCCCACTGTCCTGTCCGTAGGTCCTGCCTCATTATTCTTGCTAGCGAAAGGCTAGGAACAACCTACCTGTCCAACATCAGGGACTATATAAATAAAAATCACAGGCTGACCATATACTGCAATTCTCAATAGCCGATATAAGAAATGAGATGGATCTGTAGACATGTACATGGAAAATGTGCCAGGATATATTGCAAAGTGAAGGGGGAAGGCAAGTTACAGAACAATATGTACAGTGTGATCTCTTTTCTCTTTAAAATATATATGTGACTGTACATTGGAAAAGGTCTGAAGGGTACACATCAAGCTGTAGCTAGGCTTTACCCATACGTATGTCCATATCCCTATAAGGATATAAGTAGAGCATAAAGGAAGTGCAGAGATCAGCTATCTCCTTCTGAGCGGCATTATGGAAGGAATTTCCACATCACTCAGGGGTGACCTAGGTCCCCCCTTGGCCCTGAGACTCTCAGAGAACGGAGAGGTCCGGGCCAGGAGAGGAATCCACGCCTAAGGGGAAAGGGTTAAGTGAGGATGCGGTTGCTGTGGGCGGGCTCAGCAATCGGCAGCGCCAGGCTCTGTTAGCCAAGTCTGAGCATCGCGGAGGATGCGGCGCTGCGAGCGGCTGCTGGGACACGCGCAAGGTGAACGCGGGGGCTGCCTGCGCGACGCCCAGGTGAGGAACTGGCAAAGGAAGGGGGCAATGGTGGGGCCCAGGCAGGGAGCATGGCCTGCAGCCCCGGTCTCAGCAGGGCGCAGAAGGCCCTGCACCAGAGCCCACCCCCACCCAGGACACTGCGGGGAAGGCGCGGAGCCAGGGGCCAGGAGAAGGAGGACGAGAGGTAACCTGAGATGGGCCAGCTCCCAGACGCTGCCCTGCACTGCCCTCTCCCTAGACCCTGAGACAAGGAGATACCCTTCCCCCGCCCCCAAAAAACACATTTCTCCAGCAGCTGGAACCTAGTGCTGGGCAGCCCCCCTCTTTGTCCGCAGATGCCCACATCTCCTGGATTGGGGGTGGTGAGCAGATGGCATATGCTTATTGAAGGCCCAGCTCAGCTGTCTCCTCCTCTGCAAAGCTTTTTGGACTCCCTGTGCAAAATGATCTACAGCGCGTTTCACAATGCCTAGTATGACTGTGTGACCTTGGGTGAGTTGCTCAACCTCTCTGAACCTCGGTTTCTTCCCCTGTGAAATGGGTATACCCACACCTGCTTGTGTTGGGAGGGTTGGATGAGATCAAGGGCATTCAGCTACACTTAGCACAGGAGCCTAACTGGGTAAGAGCTCAACACAGGAGTACTGGGAATCAAACCAGCAACCTTTATGAAGGAGTACCTGTGTTAGGGGCCTTTCAGTCAGTCCCCCTCTGCTCACCCCGACTCCTGACACTAGAACTGATGCTTCTCTTTAGATCCCCAGCACCTAGCCTGGGAGAGGTGCAGAGCATGGAGCTTGGTGAATGTCTGAGAAATGAGCCAACAAGGATTTAGGGCAGAGTCTAAACCAGGGGTGGGCAAACTTTTTGACTCGAGGACCACAATGGGTTCTTAAACTGGACCAGAGGGCCGGAACAAAAGCATGGATGGAGTGTTTGTGTGAACTAATATAAATTCAAAGTAAACATCATTACATAAAAGGGTACAGTCTTTTTTTTTTTTTTTTTTTTTAGTTTTATTCATTTCAAACGGGCCGGATCTGGCCCGCGGGCCGCAGCTTGCCCACGGCTGGTCTAAACGCATCTTGGGGGATGGGTTTAAGGGGTCTTTGAGCCCTCTGAAATTGTCCATAAGTTTTGGTGAGCTTGGGCATTTTCTTGGGGAGAAAGCCTGTAATTTCCATTGGCTTCTCAGGGTGTCTGTAGGCCACCAAGGGTTAGGAGGCAGGGAGAGTTGGGCACAGCTATTTCCCAGAGGCAAGGAGCAGGGCCGCCGCCCCTAAACACGCTGAGGCCTAAGCTCTCCTCCCCTCTTCTGGCTGTGGGGTCCTTCCTGCCTCCTTGGCTCAGCTAGACACTCTCAGGAGTGGAAACTTTAGGGACTGTATAGCTGGGGCAGGCCATATGCTGGGGGGCTGAAGACAAGAAATGGAAGATGCAGATGCAGCCTTAAGGAGCCTCAGGCCAGTGTGGGAGACAAGAGATGACTACACTGTGACCAGGGTGATGGGAAGGGTGGAGGGAGGTGTCAAGGAAAGAAATGTCTAGGCTGAAACAAGCCACTGTCATATCTTACCTGGCTTTCTACGCTGGCCTCTCTCCCTCTTTTAAAACATTTATTAGACGGTGAAACTCCCATGCTTAACATCTTCATTGGCTTCCTGTGACACCTAATAAACTCCAGGTGCCTTGCCCTGGTGTACCAGTCCTCTTGGGATCTAGCTCGGTCTTTCTGATTTCATCTCCCTCTGCCACTTTCTCCATTTGTTGAGCTCCAGCCACACTGCCTCCTTGTTGCTTTAACTCGCCTAGCTCATTCCTGTGTCAAGGCCTTTGCACTGTCTGTTCCCTCTGCCAAATGCTTTTCCCCCATATCTTCAAATGGCTGGCTCCTTCCATTCAGCATTGAGCTCACATGTCACCTCAGAGAGGCTTTCCTGGCACCCCTGTGTAAAGTATCCCCCACCCCATCCGTCTATCTCTTAATTCTGTTTTCTTTTCTCCATAGCTCACCTTATTTAACATCACTCATCGTCTGTCCCTGACTTAGAATGCCAGCTCCATAAGGGTAGGAATCTTGCCAATCCTGTTCACTGCTTTATCCACAGAGCATGGCACATAATATATGCTCCAGTTAGTTGTTGAAAGAGTTAAGAAAGCTTTCTGGACAAAGGGAAGAGTAAAAGAGCTCTAATACTTATGCTCCTCTCATAGGCCTGACCCATTATGTGTTCTGTTATGTAAGCATTATAAGAGCCCTTTACAGTTAGGTACTCTTTTTATACCCATTTTACTGAAACTCTGATGCAAAAAGGTAAAGTAACTCACCCAGGAACTGGCAAAGCTGGGATTCGAACCCAGTTCCCTCCTCAAAAGCAGGGGCCTCTTCCTCTCCACCTCTCTGATATTTGAGCTGGGACTTCAAGAACAGGATTTCAGCAAGTAAAGGAGAAGGGAGGGGGCGTTCTAGGCAGAGGGAATGACAGGAGCAAAGGCATGGGCACCAGGCAGCCCAGTAGGTGTGGAAAGGTAGGTGAGCAGCTTGGTGTGGCCTTGGAAGGCCAGGAAAGGGTCTTAATTCTCTTCTGAGGGTAATGGGGAACCACTGAAGGTTTTGAATCAGGGCAGTGGCATGAACAGAGATGCAGTTTTAAAAGTTCACTCTGAGATTGACCAGGAAGTGGGGAAAGGGGGTTGGGGTGGGGGACCTGCTTCCTGTCGCTCTTCATCCTTTTCCATCAGCCCCCTTGGGACAGCCATAGGAGCCTCCAACACTCACATGTCATTCCCCCTCCTTTTTTTTAGGCTTATCCAGTGAGGACTGGAAGTTGAGGGTTCTAGACCCAGGCATCAGAGCGGACCATGGCCTCCAGCCCATGGGGCCATGTACATGGCCTCCTGCTGCTATTGCTGCTGCTGTCTCTGGGGGCGGGCCCTGCCCTGGGTGGGAGCCTTCCCAAGGCACAAGAGGACTGGGAGCCACACCTGATCCCAGGAGCCCACCCCAGGGGCCCTGTTGGCACAGAGCCCGAAGCCTTCCTCTGGCAGAAGCCCAGAGATGAGAGCCCTTGGAACTCCAGTGTCCCCCAGGTCCGTGCGGAGGAGGTGCCTCAAAGGATCGAAGACGCTCCGCTTGGCCCAGCCCTGCATGGACCTCAAGCAGCCCAGGGGGCTCAGAGAGAAGGACTCCCAGTAACTGATGACTTCCAGGTGGCTCAAGGGCCACATTCTCAGGGCTGGACAGGACCTCCTGACTCACAGGAGCCTCTGGAGCAAGATGCACCAGCACCCCATCCAGTGGGGTCCCCCCACCTCACTTTCATCCCAACAACTCCCCGACTCCAGCTCAGGGTACCCACAGTTCCTCCCTCTCCAAGGGGGCCTGGAGGCCAAGTGGGACAGCGACCAGTGAGAGATGAGGGTCTGGTTGCTGAAGCCAAGCCCAGGGTCTCAGAGACATCCCCCTCCGCCCACCAGGGTCCTCCCCACACTCTTGCACCCGACTCAGGCACTATCAGGAGGCCAGTGCTGGAAGAACAGGATGGGGGTGAGGAAGACTACCAAGAGGCAGCTCAAGGCCCCATCTTCACCCAGCAGGATCCAGCAGCCTCTGTGACTGGCTCAGTATCCCCAGTTGAGGTGGCATCCACTCAGGAGCCTGGGTTCCAGCCAGACCTGACAGTGACCAGAAGGCTTCCTCCTGCCAACGAGCTGCCAGCTGAGCCCCCCAAGAAGGCTAAAGGTGGGGAGATCTGGGCAGTCAGTTTTCCAAGTCCCTCACTGAAGCAGGCTGACTTCCATGATGTTCAGGGCTCTCCAGGACCCAAACCTTCAGGTCCTCCAGCCTCAGAGACTCCTCATGAGCAGCACAAGCCAGGTGGGTACCAAGGTGAGGGTGCCATGCAGGGCTGGGAGGGGCAGTGTTCCAGGCAGATCGATGCCCCAGTTTCTGTGTGCCCCCTGGCCCCACTGGGTCCCATTTTTCTTTCTGAGGGTGATTATGTCTCCCTCCTGGGGGATTAGACTTCGGGGACTGCTGGAGGGGTCAGGCAAAGTGATGACTGCTTTTGTCATTTCAGAGATAGCAGCAATGAATGGAGCAGACCCCATCTCTCCCCAGAGGGTGAGAGGAGCAGTGGGGGCCCCAGAAACTCCCAAGGCCCTCATCCCCCCTGGCCCCTCGGACCCGGGACCAGCTACAAACCAAACGGAAAGTCCTGTGAGGACCCTGCAGCCAGGTGAGGGCATGGCTGGGGGTTTGGGGAGAGTGGTACTCTGTTTAATAACAAAGAAGTGTGCGAGGTCCATATGGGAAGCGGGGGAGTGAGGACAAACAGCTCTTAAAGGAATTGGCTGGGACCTCCTTCAAACAACTTGGGATAATAAACTAATACTCACTGGGTACTCTGGGAGAAGTCATGCGACCTTTGGGGGCTAGAATGTTCTTAACTGTAACATGGATGTATTTAGTGCAGTGATTCTCCAACTCTGGCAAATCACTCAAGGAGCTTTTAAAAAGTTCCCACGGAATGCTGATGCAGTCGGCCTCCAGGTGATTCTAATATTAAGCCCATGCTGAGAACTGCTGGTATATTATTAATAAAAATGGCAGCTCGCATCCATTTAACACTTATTGGGTGCTGGGCACTATGCTAAACTTTCAGTCCTCACCACAATCCAGTGAGGTAGGTGTTGCTACCACCCCCATTTTACAGATGTGCTTGGAAAAGTTAAATAACTTGCCCATCACATTAGGGAATAATGTAAAATCAAAAACATTTTACGAAGGGCTATTTTAATATTGTTATTATTGCAGACGAAGCCGAGGAGTGGCCGGGGCGCCCCCAAAGCCATCCCCCAGCACCCCCAGTCCAGGCCCCCTCGACGTCACGCCGGGGCCTCATTCGGGTCACCACACAGCGCGCCCTGGGACAGCCAGCTCCTCCGGAGCCCTCAGCCAGCTCCATGGCATCTGCCCCAGCCTCTAGCCCCCCGGCCAACGCCACCGCACCCCCCCTGCGCTGGGGTCCCCTTCGGCGGGTGCTGAGCTTTTCCTGGGAGCTGCACGTCTATGGGGTAGGGGTGCTCTTTCTGCTGCCGGCGTTGCTGGCAATGGCCTCTCTGGCAGCCGCCTCTACGGGGCCCTGGCTGGCACTGGTGGCGGCAGTGCTGGTGCTCCTGGCATCGGGGCTGCGGTCTGCCTACATGCTTGCCGACCCCTACGGCTCGCAGGCGCGGCTGGGCTTACGCGCAGGCCTGGTGCTCTAAAACCTACCCTTCCCCTTGCTGCTCACCGCGCTGGCGGCCCTGACCCTGCTAGGACTGGGTGCGGGGCTGCCCCCGCAGCTGCAGAACCCGCTCCTGCTCGGAGTCCTGGCGTTGACTCACGGCGTGGGGTTGCTCGCTACAGACCTGCTGTCGTCGACGCCGGCG